TGTTCTTGATTCTCACATAACTCTTGGATTAATTGTATAGTTTGCTTTTCATCATATCCTGTTAAACCTGAAACTATATCTTGTAAGCTATAAAAATAATGATTAAAATCTATCTTATGTTTTCCAGGAATGAATTCATCAGTTAACATCATCTTTTGCCAGGTATCAACATTCTTATTATTTTGGCCTTCTTTAGACACAATATAATAATAGAATCTACCAGGTTCTAAAGGTTTTTTATTACGTTGCATCATAGAAGCAAATGCAATCACCATTCGATTTCCTTTTCGGGTCTCAGAGTTTTTTTGTTTTTCTCGTATTCGTTTTAATTCTTCTTTGTCATGTAAATGAGGATTGAATAACTTTCCAAATTCAATTAACGATATTGGAGAGTATAAAGAATCGTATTTTGCTGTTAATACAAACAAATCTAATGATATATTTTTCTGACAGATATATTTGTTGATTATTTGAAATGTTGATTGTTTACGATCTATATCTTCCTGCTTTATGGATTTGTCCTCATGGTTAAAACCAAGAGCTGACCAAATCATTTCCTCAGCAACTATCTTGTAAAATTCTGATATGTTTCTTTTTACAAGTTTCACACCTCTCAAGTATAAAGAAGGTGATGTGAAATTTGGTTCTAACTCATGTACAACCCCAAAATAATGTTTCTTTGCTATAAAGATTGCTGGCCACATAGTCTTCTCATATGCCATACGAAGATATGAAAAGCCTGTTTTTTCTTTTAAATATTCATTTATCTTTGTTTCAAGAATATTTGATTGCTCGATTGTTATTTTCACCATTTCTCGCCAATATTCCTCTTTGGTTATCAAATTTGATCGATATCGAAAACAGAGATCGATAAAAAAAGATTCTGGTAGAGTATAAAATACCGAATCTGTATCTCCATAAATAATGATAAAACCTAATCGACTGATGAATTCGATTACTTGCTTTAACATGTAACGACAAAACGCTGTTATACTTGACGCTATTTCCTCACGATATAATGGAGAATATTTATAACCGGTTTCTCCATAAATTGAATTCGCTAACACCTTTAACGCGTTAGATTTTGACGAATAATAAAGATATTTGGATTTATCATTCTTATGAATCTTCATTAACCGTTTCGTTTCATTACGAGCTTCTAAGAGATCATGACACATCAAGGGCATAATTCCCATTTTGTCTCGTTCACCATGATGCTTTTTGAAAATACCGTAGATTTTTTCGTTATCAACTATAATATTTGAATCAGGTGAGATAATGTTCAATCGGGTATCGGTTGATATATTGTTCGAAATTATTGTATAAGGGTAATATGACGCAAAATCGAGATCCGATACAGGTCTAGTAAAAGATTTGTTTGGAACTAACACTAAAGCTCCTTCATATTTCCCTTGCTCAACTATCCTCTTTACTCTCGAGGAAACTAATATTTTCTTCTGAGATGAGTATTTTCCAAATAAATTTCGAACCAGACAACCTACGGCATTCGTGAACACATTTGATATCGTCACATATGAGAGTTCTGCTAATTGAATATAATCACCGATAATGTTTCTCTTGATATTAAGTTCATGTAATCTCATGGTATCGACCGAACAATAATATGCTAATTCAATCGCGTAATCTTCCAATTCATCATCAGATAC